CTTTCCCTATTTCTATTCATTTGGACCACATTTCCCTTGATGTTGTGATACCGCCTCCTGTGTCACTGCTTCCTTTCTTTTTCCTTTCACCTTAAGTATTGGTTTCCAACTCATTCTACCCTTTCTTTACCCTTCTCCTCAACCTTCAGTTCTCCATGGACAACTTCATTTCAGGTCTTTGCGGCTAACATATTTATGCTAATGATTCCCAGCTTTAACCTCTCTCTTCTAAGCTTTAGACCCATATTTCCACCTATCTCCTGAACATTTTCATCTGAATATGCTAAGGACTCCTTGAATTCAGCAGGTCCTATCTGAATTCACTTTTTTTCTCAAACCTTTTCCATTCTTTTTATCTCTTGATTAGTGATATGCAGGCTACCTGGTAGCCTAAGCCAGTCATGCTGTCCGCCTTTTTTACTCTTAACTCATCACAGCTAATTAATCATTAAGTTATATACTTTCTGCCTCAAGTTATTTCAGATACGTTTCCTTCTCTCCATGACCACTGCCATCACCTCAGTTCACATTTGCAACATTTACAAGAGCTTTTATGATCTTCTCTGAGGCTGCTTCTTGTTTTCCAATTCATCCTTCACACTGTAGCCAGAGAAGTCTTTCTGAATGCCTGTGTGATTGTGGCACTCCTCCACTTAAAACTTTCAGTGACCTCTTATTGTCTGCAGTTGTTACAATTTCAAGTATCTATAAGGATTAGGCAAATAATGTATGTGAGTGCAGTGGGCCAAGTTTGAGACAGTAGGAGAGAACAGGGAGGCACTCCTGTTTAAAGAAATTCATATTTAGAATTTTAAAAAATATGTGACATTGGGCTTCCCTGGTGGCGCAGTGATTGAGAGTACGCCTGCCGATGCAGGGGACACGGGTTCGTGCCCCGGTCCGGGAAGATCCCACATGCCGTGGAGCGGCTGGGCCTGTGAGCCATGGCCGCTGAGCCTGTGCGTCTGGAGCCTGTGCTCCACAACAGGGAAGGCCACAACAGTGAGAGGCCCGCGTACAGCAAAAAAAAAAAAAAAAAATGTGACAAGTCTATCAGAGAATCTGATGTTGTCTATGCCTATGAGTGCAACCAAGCTTAAACTACTGAGCTCCTCACATGCAATGCTTCTTTGATATCAGGTAAATCCTTTAGATGGACCACTTGAAACTCTGAGCTATTGCAGAGACTGATGTAACCAGTGAGTCATGTTTGGTTGTTTTGTTTCTAAGTCAAAACATACCGGAATAAAGAGTATTGGTTTATTATTTTAAGTACCACTGTCTTCATATTGGAGGCTGTGGAACATAATGAAAAAATTATGGGCTTTGGAGTCAGTGTTGACCTAGATTCACTTACCAGTTCCGCTGCCTATTAGCTGTGTGATTTTGAGCTAGTCATTTAGTGACTTTGAGCCCCAATTTCCTACTCTGTTGAAAAAATTAAGAAAGAAATAAAATTTTCAGGATTGAGAATACAAAATCAGATAACAGTTTAGAATTATCCAGCCCAATGCTTGGTACATAGTAACTCTTCAGTAAAAGATAGCATCCAGACAGGTAGGAATAATTTAAGAAGTGACAATAAATATACGAAAATCTAATCCCCCCCCCCCCCCCCCACAC